AAGCCGTGCTTTTCAACACACCTGAAGGATGCGATACATCCCTTTCCTTAACAGTGCAATTGTCTGTAGGAAGGAAGAGAGTTGAGTGGGGAGATGGGATGGCTATTGATTGAAGCAAGCCTCCAGCAGGTGCCTCTGTGATATCACAATTTCCTCTAGAAAACCTTGGTCATGAATCTAATAATAAAGTGACCCAATCAACAACTAACTAGAAGGGCCCATTTTATCTAAGTTTTGGATAGATATTTGGATGGTTTGTAAGGCATGATGGCACTAAATGCGATTTCATAGTTTTATAGCATAACAAAGAAAATTTCTTTGATTGCTTTTTCTTTGAAATGAGGCCTAGGACTACACATTAACCTCTAAAAGTCTTGGCGGCCTGTTTAAAACCTAGTCACAGATTCCTAAGGACAGAAGCAGCTTGGTTGAAGTTGGTGAGAGCAAGGCTTGGGGTGGTGTGGGAAGGAGTGGAGGTATAAGGTGGAGATTCCGAAGGGAAAGGAACCACAGTGCCTGGCTTTTAGATGGAAGGAAGAGAAAGAGCACTAAGATTTCTGCAAGGGCGGAGGAGCACCAGTCTTGGGAGTTGGTGGGGCGGGGGTGGTACAAGTGCTAAACTTAAGGAGGCACCCTCTGTCAGGTTCACATGAGCGCGGGCCTGGTGCCTGAGAGTGAGTGCCTCCTTAAATTTTATGTCTTGGAAGCTTGATTTGCTCATCCAAGTCCAAGCCCTGGACTGAGATGACTCGACATTTCTGGTTTCTCCAAGACAGTTTCGATACCATTTACTTTGATTGCTCAAGAGGTTCCGATAAAAATCTAAATAGCACAACTTTGGGGAAGAAAGTCTCAGATGAGTATAGAGCTTATACTATAGTAAATAGAGGTCACAGATTAACATATAAGGTAAAAAGTAAAAAAACCAAGTTTTCTCCAAACTAGGGTTTGTTTGTGTTCCAGGTACAGGCATATCTTGTTTTATGCTTTGTTTTATTGCACTTCACAGATGTTGTGGTTTTTACAAACTGAAGGCAAGACCCTCCGCCACCAAAAAATTGCGATTCGCTTTATTGTGGTACTCACTTTATTGCAGTGGTCTGGAACCAAACCCACAGGATCTCCAAGTCATGCCTGTATTCATCTGGTGAGCTGAGATTTCCTTCCTTTCCTTCATATTCTTTTCTCTTTCAACTCTCTCCCTCTATTCCTTTCTCCCCTCTTCCTTCTGCTCTGTGTGACACTACTGAAGTGACTGCCTTTCTTTTTTTTTTCTTCCTCCTTCTTTTGCTTCCCTTGCTTATAACAGATTCAGAGGGTATAAAAGAATCGAATATCTGTTTCACAGCCATTTCATAAACAATACAGGCTCCTTTCTTTCAGTACCACTAGGCAATGAAAAGCGCTGTAGGAGGACATTTGTGACAGTAGAGTGATGAATTCATGACGACTCTGCAGTGTAGACTTGAAACAGGTCCACTGTGTTTCTCTGCATTTAGCCGAGACCAAACTAGAATGAATGCCCATGGGTGCTCAGCTGGATACATGAAACAAAGAGGTTTTCTATTTTGTGATGAAAGGAAATAATTTGGGGGGAGGGAAAAAACCTACCCAAGCCAGAAGTTTAGTTTGTGTTTGTTTCAGCCAAATTGCTTCAAGCCCTGTCATATACTTCATATACTTCTGTGACCCTCCATTGTTGGAGAAATGTTTTTAAAGCTTTTCAGATGTTGTTAAACCTCTCCAGAAGTTTATTTTAAAATGGAGTTACTAACATAGCTTTTTCAATATTAGATCATATTCAACATTTTTTACTTGAGCAACTTGAACTTTTTGAACTAAGTTCCTTTTCTTCAAATTCCATTTTGAAGTAGTCACAACTCACATGAAATGGATTTCAGAAATTTATTTTAAAATCAGATAAGGATTAAAAAGGTCTAGTCTACCACAACAAGAGGAAGGATTAACATGGCTTATGCCATTCTCCTTATTCTTGTTTAAAATTTATCATGATAAAGAATATGCAATAAGAAAACAAACTTTCAGTCATGGGTGGAAGCCTAATGTGTGTGGTTTTGTATGATGCACACTGCACAATGCTGGGGACTCCCTTCACACTGGAGCCATTGAGCACTTGTATATTTATTATAGTAATTTCCTAGCAAATCACTTGGAAATGTTTTGGGGAAGGAGCTCCCCTTCAACACCCCAGTTTGAAAAGGTGCCATCTAGAAAAGCAGTGGCCCTGATGCTAATTTAATATTTAAAAGGTTTATTTTTGCTTCTTTGGTCCTAGGCCTCTAGCTGAATTGAAATGACTAATCTGGATTGGTTGAATCCTGCTGTGCTTAAACTTAGGACCTTTCTCCCAACTTGCTGATCATTCCAAAACCAACCAACCAACCAACCAACCAAACAAACAAAGGTGAAGTATTTGCATACTTCAGTTCCCCTTGTTTTCATTTGCTTTCTCTTAGGCCTGCTTCTTACTGGGTTCTCGCCTTAGTCCTTCTTTTATGCCAGGTGCTGTTCTAAGCTCTTTTCTTTTTTTTTTTCTTTTTTTGTCTTTATTGAACCATAATAGACAATTAATTGCTTATATTTACATTGTACAATTCAATGAGTTTTTTTCCAGTTCTAGTTGGCATACAATAATATATCATTTTCAGTTGTATAGCATATTGATCAGAGATCCACATAACTCACAAAGTGATCACCCCCTTAAATTTAGAAACCTTCTTCCCCCTTACATATTATTAACTATCTTCCTCATGCTACACACGTTACATCTCCACGTCTATTCTGCAACTATCCATTTGTAATTTTTAATTCCTTTGCCTTTTTTTGTCCCCTCCAACCCCATCTAGTATCCCTCTAAATATTCTCTGTATCTGTGAGTTTATTTCCACTTTTTCTTGTTGTTGTTGTTGATTTTGTTCTTTAGATTCCACATTACATGAAATCATGCAATATTTGTCTTTTTCTATCCAACCCATGTCATTAAGTGCAGTACCTTCTAGGTCCATCAAGGCAATATTTTTTTCCATCCCCTTTCTTTTAGTCTGCGTGTGTCTTTTAATCTGAAGTGAGTCTCTTATGGGCAGCATACATAGGGATCTTGTTTTCTTATCCCTTCAGCCACTCTGAAGAGGAATTTTCCACTCAAATGGCTAACCTTGTAATCAGCTCTTTGTTCTGCTTCTGTAGACATGCTTGTTGCATAGGCTGAAGGGCACGGTGACCTTGAGATCAACTGAAAACTCATCCTTCCCTTTGCTTGTTCTGTCTCGATAACAGATGTATTGCCTTTGCTTGTTAAGTCTTATAAAGGTAAGGTTACCCCTGATTTCGGGGCCCAGATCTTCAGAGCACTAGCTCTTCTGGGACCACCAGCATAATAAACGTGAGTTCTCCAACTCTCTGAGTGGTGCTTGATTTCTTGCTGGTCTGATTTTTCTGCAACAGCTCTATCTTTTGGTTGGAGCACTTAACTCTTTACCATTTGAGGTATTTGTTGATATGAATGTAGTTGTTACCATTCTTTATTCTTGTTTTTGATGCATGTTTTTTCTTCTTATAGAAGTCCTTCCAACATTTCCTGTAATACTGGCTTGGTGATGATAAATTCCTTTAGTTTATTTTTGTCTGGGAAGCTCTTTACTTGTCCTTTGACTGTAAAGGATAGCTTTGCTGGATAAAGTATTCTTGGTTGTAGATCCTGAGTTTTTACCATGTTGAATATTTTGTGCCAAGCCTTTCTGTCCTGCATAGTTTCTTTTGAGAAATCAGCTGCCAGTCTTATGGGTGCTCCCTTGTAGGTAATTTACTGCTTTTCTCTTGCTGCTTTTGTTCTAAACTTTTGATGGATTCTAGCTCATTGAGTCCTGTGTTGTTAACCCTTTTTGAAGGATGAGGAAACTAAGGCTCAGAGAGAATTATTTGCCTGTGGTCACACAGCCAGTCAGTGGCAGAATCAGGATTCAAATCCCGGGAATGTGGCATTAAAGTTCCTACCACTCCACTCTTCTGCCTCTCCTGAGTTGGTGTGTTTTTCTTGAAACCTGTGCCACTGTATAAAGTCCTATTTTAAACTGCTCTGGTCATCCACTGTCTGACAATGGTTCTCTCCTTCATTCATTCTCATATTTACTCAGACCTCCTCTGGCCACTGTCGTTTGGTGCCTCACCAGACATCCTTGAGGACCAGCCCTAATTCGAATCAATTCTCTTAGTCTTGGTTCCCTCCAATTCCAATTTTTTGCCATTCTCTACTGACTCACAGCTGAGGTAGACTCTATCCACCCTGTGACAGATGAGGATAGAAATGGGCAATTGCTATTAAGAGCTATGTGATTCCTGGGCCTTTTTTTTTTTTCAACCTACCAATGTGGCAAAGCCTCAGGAGTCAGTAGTGTGCTGCCTTGGTCAGAGTATGGAGAAATGGAAGTCTCTTTTGTTGGTGGGAAGATATACCAGTGCAACTGCTTTGGAGGGCAATTTGGCAACCTGTCACATGCATTCAGAATATAGCTAGACTCTCACCCCATTTTAGTACCTCCACTACTGCCACCCAGATCTGAGCCACCACATTTTTCACACTGATTTTTCACCTCCTCTGTGGTCTCCTTGCTTCCACTCTTGCCATTCCCCACCTCCCCCAAACAAAACAAAACAAAACCAAAAACACACATTTCAAGCATTTTAAAACAAAAGCCAGATCATGTCACATGTCCTTCTCAAATCTTTCCATTGGCTTTCCCTTTCATTAAGAGCAAAAGCTCAAATTCCCGTAGTGGGCTACAGGTCCCTACATAACTTGGTCCGAGCACCTCTTTGATCTTATCTCTTATTCTGCCCTCGTTCCCTTTGCTCCAGCCACACTGGCCTACTTGTTTTTCCATGAACATGTCAGTGATCTTTCCATTCTAGAGCCTTTGCATAGGGTGTTCCCTCTGCCTGAAATAGTCTTCCCTAGATATCTGCAGGGCCAGATCCCTTACCTCCTTCAGGTCTTTGATGAAACACCACCTTCTTCATGGGGGCTTCACCGACCACTTGATTTAAGATTGCAACCTCTTGATCCCATTCCCTTTTATCCTTCTCTATTTATTTCTATTGCTGTTACCTATTTAATATGCTACATGACTGACTTATTGTGGTTTTATCTGTTTCTTTTAATGAGACTGGAAGATCCACAAGGGCAGACATACATTTTTCATTTTTGTTTATTGATGGTGCCTGGCAAGCTGTCAAATAAATATTTATTTATAATACTTATTAACTATTTTTTGAATTTATTAAATGGCATTTTACTCAGCAATTCCATTTCTAGGAATTTACTTTGTGACACACTTATACATGTATACAAAACAATATAAACACTGCTAGTCATTGAATATTATTTATTATAGAAAAAGACTGAGCAGTTATCTCAAAAGATTAAGCATTACCTGAATGGGGCTTTTTAAGGGATTGGCCAAAGTCTCAAACCAGATAGGAAAAAAGTTGGTTTGTGTTCCACTACTTCCTAGAAAGTGGGGCCGATGTTGAAGACCAGATAAGTTATAGTCAGAACTTCATTTTCTTTGCACCTCCGAGTAAAAACTTAAAATATATACATATGTAGAGTTGTACTTTTCCCATTACTCCTAAATTGATGAATAGGTTGCCAGTAATGCAAAAGCGTCTCTGTTTCTCCTATTCCTCATGCTCTCCACTTTTAATTCAAAATGCCTGATCCAGAAAAGGAGCCAGACTCTTTCCTTCTTTCTCCACTCAATGATCCTATTCTCAACTCCAGGTCCCTTAAGGCAATGTCAGGTCTTCGTTGGAGTGAAGAGAGGACATGAGACTTAAATTGGACATGAGTTGGGGATTTTGAACAAATTAAAATGATATTTAACTGAAAGTGGCAAGAAAGTTATAGAATCTTCCTGAGAAGTCCTGTAGGAGAAAAGAAGATTCTTCAGAGCTCAGTTAAATTATGGTGCATGAACCAAAATTTACCTTGATTTAAACTCCACTGGGCTGATATTTTTCAATAAACTGGGTACCTATTTCTCTATGTAAAGACAGGAGCATGTCTTGGAAAACACAGTAAACTGTTTCAGTAATTATCTTCGGGAAAGGAGAGTTTGAGATGGGATTCGTGTGGGGAGAAAATGTACTTTTCACTCTGTACTCTTTTGAACTTAAAAAAAATAGCATGTACATATATTACTTAAAAAATGCAAATAATTTAAAACTAAAGTAATTAGAACTGTATGATACCAATAGAGCAGAAGGCCGAGTTAAGAAATAGCCCTGAAAGCTACATGTCAGTTCTATATATATTAAAGGAGTTTCTTACTAATAGGAGGAATAATTGTTGTGGGGTAAACCAGGGAACTTGTAATGGAAAGAAAGCGAGGTTTGCTGGGCATGAGAAGGAAAACTATTCTTTGCGCTTGGAGGAAGATCTGTAGAAGATGGAGTAGGAGACCCTTGGACCAGAGATGAATGTTAGAAATCAATACAAACTGCTGATGCTTTTGCTTGAAGGGAGATAAAAGTTGTGACAGATGCCTGCAAAGCTTTTGGCAAGGAATGGGGTTCCATTTGGTATGATGCATTTCAAGGTTAAGCTCTTTTGTGTCATGTAGATGTGGCATGTTTTTGGCTCAGTGCTGAACCTTGGCGTTTGGGATTTACATAATTGCAGAAGGCGTTTAGTCAAGAGGCAATGAAAAATGATTTGGCTTACGACATTTGATATAATTCCTCACACTTATGTTCAAGCAATAGAAATCACCACCAACATACCAGGAAAGGATTCTGCCAAAGACGAAGAAAAGAGAAAGGTCATTTAGGTTAACACGTATTAAGCTTATTTCCCCACACATGATTAATTCTATTCTCAGTTGTGTGAAATAAATAAAAATTGTGGAATAATACACATTCTGTGTGTACAAACAGTGGCTAGAGAGTGGGACAATAACCCTATCATATTCCTAAACTAAATAAGTGCTGGTTAAAGGAATTCTGATGAAATGAGGTGTACAGCTGGACGTAGGACTGGATGCAATAAATGTGGCCTGTCTACACAAATGCCTGCCACAGTTCTTTTCCATGATATTCGGAAATAAAAAGAGAAAAACTATAAAATAGTAATATAAATAGTCAAAAATTTAGATCTCTGCCTTGTATTAGGATTCTTTGTCATTGGGGAGCACACTCCAAGGTGTCTACTGGATCTTTAAAAAAAGGCCACTATTGGCTTTATCTTGATGCTTGTTACTCATTTAAGCCACTGGATTTGATGGGGTCAGGCCAGTCATGTTGCATAGGGAGTGTAGGGAGTGTCTTCCCAAGGAAGAACTGCTATTCCAGCTCCTCTTGGCTCATTCACAC